TATCGATTTTATTGATGAAAATAATAAAAATATTAAAATAAAAATATAATTTATTCATGCAAATAGGGCAAGTGTGAGAAGAATGTTTTTAGTTACAAGAGTTGGATTTCTTTAGCATATGGATCTCTAAATTTATAAAATTTATCTATAATTATAAAAGTAAAATAACTAATTTCATCTATCATAACGATATCGATTTTATTGATGAAAAAATAAAAATATTAAATAAAATATAATTTTAATATTTTAATTAATGATGATGGACGATGATAATTGTGACAGGTGACGGAGCTACTAGGTGACTATTGTAAATGAGAAGAGAGAGCAATGATGAGAGCCGAGGGTCATTTTACATCTGTATTGACATCAACGTAATTGTTGAGCCACGAAAAAATTATTTGACATCTACATCGATATTAATGTAATTATCGAGCAATGAAAGGATCATTCGGTAACTACGTCGACATCAATGTAAATATCAATCGGTCCTCACCTCTCATAATCATTCTCTTTCCTCATTCATCACAATAATCCATAGCTTCCAACGACATCGTCATCCATTATTACGGGCTGAAACATTGAAAATATTATTTTTATCTATTATTTTTATATTTTATCAATAAAAATTAATAATATTAGAATTAGATATTTTATTTTTATAACTATAAAGATTCTAATATAAAATTTTTTAATATAAAAACTGTGATATCGGTAATCGATAATTAACCTCTCACACAACCCTGGCAACAAAGACCACCAGCCTCCTTCGTCTGGTCTGTGCTATTGGGGGTCTTCAGCTCAAAGCCAATGTAGAGTTTACTAATGAATCCAGCTCATTAAATGGCAGTCAGATGTCCGAGAACTTGATCTCTGACCAGCTACCAAACAGCACTGCAACCAGGACAATCTCACAGAGGTGATAGGTCCCATGTTCTGTTGTCTTCTTCTCCAGGGAGTACACCCCTCACATCTCCAACATTGATCGATTAGTGCTATTTTCATGGCAACAACAGACCTGAATTCTGGCAAGAAGAGTCGAGTTCAAGTTGCTTTTATGATGACAGTAGTGTATGTGCTCTGACACATCACCAAGGATGTGAGTTCTCTGGTTCAGGTTCTCCACTTTTGCTGTTAGACACCTACCATAAGAACTTACATTTGCTGAAAAAGAACATGATCAGATCATATTATTTTGTGAATGGATTAGGTTCAGTTAGCTGCATGTTTGGCCATGCGATGATAAGTAGACTTGGTTACAACCAAGTCAAGGTTGGAAGAGATTTTGTGGAGAAGTAGCCATCTACAGAGGTAATCAAGGAAGTCTTGATCTGCAATTACACACAGTGACAGCTAATTCCTTCACCCAATGGATCATGCACCATATCAGATAAAGCTTTCTCGATGATCAATACAATACCGAAGAAACATAAGGTAAGCATGTAAGATGGTCTTGTCACCTTCCAAGATACTGCCAAACTTTTAGTGTTGCTTGACAAATTGGACATCATAACAGGATGAAGGTAGAACAGAGGATTGGAAGGTTGACATTTTTTTGTGTTTAGAGAGCCATCAGACTGTCAAAAGATCAGATACTGGTTGGCCAAATGCCAGACAATATAACAATGGTTGAGATACGCCAGGAGGAAGAAGAGAAGAAGCTTCCTTTTTTTCCATCTTTCTACTGGTTGTCATTCTCTCACAAATGTCTCAATTAGAGCTCAAAAGAACCTGCATGTTTTAGTATTCCAAATATCTGAAAAAACTGCAATCAAGGCCTAACAAATAATTTTGAGTTTGTGAGAGGAAAAAGGTCCCATCAGTGGTCATCTTGACACTGAAATGTTTTGTTTCATCTTAAACTGGGCAATAAAATTGCAGTCATCAGAGCCTTGTGCAGACATCAGCAATCAGTATTAAAATGCAAGAGAATCTATCTTGTCCATGCACAGAATAATTATTAATGAAACATCACCTACTAGTAGATCTGTATGCCAGCTTATATTAAACAAAGCTTTATGATGAGGGTGTGGTGGCTTATTCAAAGCATTGTTTCAACATATTTGGTGCATATTCTAGACTCATGAGTGCATCATCATGTAGCATCAATCAATGGGAAAACAAAGAGTGTGTCTCAGAAGGGAGAGTACTTTTTCTTCAAATAAATAGAGTTACTCAAACACTAATTACTCATATCACAGAGGAATAATCTTACTATTATATCATAACTCATTCTCTATGCATTGCTTGGATTATGAAGAAGTTATCATGATTGGAAGAGAGATACAATAACTCATAATTTTCTCTCAGATTAGCAAATTTGTTAAAATATAATCTCTCAGATTTATTTGTTAGAAATAAATGGATATCATCTATAATATTATTTTCTCGTAAGATAGATAACTAATATCAGTTATTTAATAGCGATAAATCGTGTTCTTGTTTGATTCAGTAGCAGAATTCTTGCCACACTTCTCGTGGCAGAGAGCCAAGAAGCCATTAACTTCGAAATCTCATAACTGGGCACCTCAACCTCCTTGAAAGATGATACAACCTTTGTGCCCAAGTTTATCTTCTTATCACATGCACTGCTTCTGACAACCTTAGCTTTCACTTCTGGCCCTGCTTATTGGCCAGCACCTCCATCTTGGGCATATACGGATTGCTTCTTTATCCAGGGATGGATGTGGAGGAAATTTAAAGGATCAAATCATTCCCCACCCCAGTGCATTCCACTGTGGTTCCTCGTAGGATTTGTCTCCTGAGATAGGAGGATAGGCAGATTCTAGTGGTAATGGATATGTATGGTGTTCCGGCAATTGATGTACTTCTTGCCTTGCTGAAAGGAACTCCACATTGAGGTGGTTAAATGATCATATTTGTATCTTCTCCGAGGATGGTTTCAATTTTCCATAATAATGATTTTACAGAAGAAAAAGAAAGTAGTAATGGAAGCAACTGTTCACAGGTCTTTAAAGGTTTCAGCACTCCTGTCAAATCTATCAGATAGTGCTAAACAAGGAAGAAGAACACATGAGATGTTGATTGATTCCTCCGAATCCGTGCATGTCCAATGAATCATAAAAAAATATCTGTTATCCTTTTTCTCTTTGCTGCAAACTCCAGAAGGAAGGAGAATTAGATCATAAAACAGATGAGCCACAAAACCTCAAGATGTGCTTGACATGAGGCTGAGATGTTTGCTGAGCTTTGTTATGTCTTCATCCAGATAGGTATTTAATATGATCATCTTACCAAATAAATCATAAGAGTGGATCTAGAACTTTTGCTAGCATAAATAATGTACCAAAGTAAAAGTAATATTAACATGAATTAAACTATGACAAACTTAAGGTCACA